AACCTCTTGTGTTTGACCAGGTTATTTTGTGTTGTTTTTTGTGATTGAAATATGTGTTATTTATTCTTAATTCATTATTTGCACAGAAAAGTGTAAGTTTTATGCCATTTTCGTTTGTTTGATCTTCATTGAATCTTTGCTTGACCCCATCTACGACATTATTTCCAACTCTTGCATTCATATCCCCAAGAATAAATGTTTTTTCACCTGTTGGGATTTTGTCAATTTCTTTTTGCAGGTTTTCGTAGAAATTGTCCGTTTCCTCTTTTTTTCTACTGGAATCTGGTGCATACACACTTAGAAAGTGGATTTTTTCTTTGCCAATATCTAACACGACTTTTATGATTCTCTCGTCAACATAATATGTATCCTCTATGTTTGGTATGAGCTTTGTGTTAATTAAAATACCTACTCCTGCTACGGCTCTTTTAGATTTTGCAATTCCGCTATATTTGAGGATGTAATCGGTGTAAGTTAATTCGCCCTTACCCTTACGTTTTGTCTCCGAGATAGCGCATATATCGATTTTATGCTTTTGCATTTCAAGCAGTATTTCATGCTCTCTTCTGGCCCATGAGCGTATGTTCCAACATGCACATCTTAGATCTTTAGAAATTCGTTTTTGATGTTTAATCGTAATCCTTGTACTTGCCATAGTCGTTGCCGTGTTATCAATCCTTATCCGAGGCTTTTTAGGTCTGTGAGCTATTTTTGTTTAAGGTCAACGACAGCTTGCTGGGCCCAACGTTGACCGTGTCGCATCTAACATTTAGCCGATCATCAGGATCGTTGCCCGGTTGGTACCACGTGGAGGTATGTTAGACACTTAGTGGACTCTACATAGTTGCGACGCCGGAATATAGCACATAATTAATTATGTCTATAGACGGTCGGCGCCTACCCTATTGAGACACACCCACCAACCAACTTAATTATAACTTCATTAAACATCTTTCTTTGCTCTTCAAATAAAAAAGTAATAGAATTCAACAATTCATCAAAAATTTGAAAATTTCTTGTTGCTTAAAACTTATAACCGAATACATTCATATATGAAAGCCTAAGTGAAACAGTTTTGACTCTGCTATTAGATGAGTTTTGCTTTAATATGAGTGCTGCTTAGAAACGAGTCTGATTTCATATTTAAAAAACCAAAAATTTATTTCTTCGCTTAATTCAATTAAATTGTAAACGCATTATTTTTAGAAACAAAGAAATCATATAATTTATGTACATATACATAAGTATTTGTATATGTATGTATAAAAATTTTTGAATAAATTAAATTTTAAATAATAAAAAATATTAAAATTTTTAATTTTGATTATTTAATGGTTAAGTAGAACTTCATCTATTTAAAGTGTAAGTTAATTAATTTCATATGTGTGTATGTAGTTTTTTATTATTGGATAAATAAAATTTTGTAAATTTTACATTAATCAATTAAAATATCGGATTAAAATAATTTTAATAACTTTTTATATATTGCATAACTTATGCGTGATTAAATGGATTTTTGATTGTAAATATATGATTTTTGTACATTTAATTTTTTTTTGAATAAAATATTCATAATTCTTTTTAGTAAATTTTCGATAAAATTAAAAAAAACAACAATATTAACTTCATATTTTTTAATCCGTCTGAGGGTGGCACATATGAGATTTAACAAAAGCTGCTTTATTCCTAAACACAGAAAATTTTAATATTGCTTTTAAAAATTCAAAAAATTATCCAATTATTTGTAAAATGAATTGATAATTTTTCTGCATTTTGAAATTTTTAAATATTTTAAAATAAACAAAATTTTCTTTAATTCGAAGAATATATTTTACTTGAGCTTAAAATTTTATGCAATTACAAACGTAGTTTGTTCTTAATTGAGCTGGTTTTTCTGAAGGTGGTATAAGTCAACTTTTTTACGTATATATGCGCCATAATATATACGTAACGGTGACATTCACAGGGACATAGGAATTCCTTTGGTTGTAGATAAAATTCGGTTTAACACGAAATATGAATTTCCTTATTGAAGGTATTTAATTCCTGTACGGAAAAACCAAGTTAGCGAAAAGGTAATAGTTGGTCTTTAGGACCAGTTTTATCCGTTCGGAGTTTAGGTGATTTTTTAGAGTAGGAGTCACGCTCCCCCACTGTTAGAGGAAAAAGGCAGGTAGCATTCAGTCCTAGTTTTTTCGAGATTTTTTCATATGAAAAAATGGACTTATACAAATTTCAAAAAAACCAGCTCAATTCTAGATTTCCACACTTATATACAATATGTACATTTATTATTTTTTAGTTAAATTTAAAATTACCTAAAATGTTAAAAATAATTTTATAATTAGAAATCCGAAAGTTTTATTTTAATTTAGTTTATTTAATATCGTATAGATGAATTTAAATATCAAGTAAGTATTCCGAACCCATATAGATCCAAAATTTTCGATTTCTAGTCTCCTTTTATACTTAAACCAAATGCTCTTTTGATCTTGTTACTATTGGTGTCTTCATTAGACAGATGTAAAATTTATTAAGTAAATTTGACATTTTATTTGGTATTTCTTGCATATCTTATTGTTCTTAAATTTGTATTTATTATAGAGCTTAATAAGGTCCTTAGTTAGTATTTCAGGGCTGAACTCAAAAAGGATAAAGTAATTTGGATATTTCCTTAGTTGGTTGCATTAAATATGCCTATTTAGTTTCCTTTTGCTTTCAGTTTCCACTTTTCGCAGTCAAGTATCTAATCTTGTTCGTTGACGACTTTCAATTCTCTTTTTCTAATGGTATAGTCATAGTTCTGTTAATTATAGAATTGAAAGGTGTCTTCTTATATTTAATGGAATTATTTCAATCTTTTGCGATGCATGTTTATGTATATGTACTGACTTTGTTTGATTTTATTTTCCCTAAAATATAAGAAGAATATAGGAGAATTTTAACACATTCAGATTGAGCGGGTATTTTAATTCTTCATTTATTTCAAGATGGAAATTATAATGTTATATTTTTATTCAATTCAAATATGGTTACATCAATCTTTAAAACATGTACATATATAAGATTTCAGGAATTTTGTTGTATTTTATGAAATCTGGCCGGCTTCAATTAAATATAATTTTTTTTACATTTCCAATGTTGTTATTATTTAGTAATATTAGATTTAATAAAATATATAAAAATGTTTGTTTGTATATATTGCTTATGCTAATACGTTACGACATTCATACAAACTATTACATATGTAATTCAATTTTTAAAAATAGAACGTAAAAAGGTTAAATATTCGTATAAATAATAAAAATATAAGCATATTTTGTTATTCATAAAAATATGTAGGTTATTTACTAAAATATAGGGCAAGTAATAATTTTTTTTTTTCTAATATGTAACTAAAAATAAACCTAGTTATTCATTTTACCAACCTACTTTACCATCTTCATTTCTTGATTTAATTTTCTATATACTCGTATATGACAAACATGTTGAGAATTTGCTTTTTTTTTTTATTTAATTTTAACACACTTTTGGTGTTGAATAGATAAAATATATGTAAAATTTTCTTATATCTGTAATCAACATATCTCCTGACACGGAATAATTTTATACATACATATATCCTCACAGAACAAAATTTAAAAAATCTTAAATACTCGTACCATAAAATTGTATATTAAATTAAAACTTTAATAAATGCCATTAGTCATAGAATGATGTCATCAAGTTTTGCGATATTTATGATTTTACATTATGAATTATTTATTAACCCTATCACAGCTCATCGTCACACTGTGGATATATAATATGTCTCAGAAAAATTGCAACAAAATATGTTTGGGTTATTTTTAAAAAAATGGAAATTCTATAATATGTGTTGCATTTGATTTTATTTAATTTTCTACTTTTTAAAAATTTTCCTTTAGGATTTTATTCTTCCAGAGTTTTGAGTTAAAATATCGAAGTTTTCGTATACTACAAAATAAATTTGTTAAAAATTTTTTTTGTTTTCTAATTATTTAAAATTCGGATTTAAAAATCCCTAAATTGAGGGTAATACTCACTATTGGCAGTCATACTCATATTTTAGAAGCTATGATTATTATGAGACATGCCAGGATCCCAGGAAATTCAGGTCACTTTTGCAAAACTGTCATCCACAAAATATATTATAAATTTTTTTAAAAAAATTAAGAATTTATTATTGATCATAAATGAGTTACATGTAGTTCCAACTTTTACATTTTCTCAACAGCCCTCAGTAAAAAATCGCCATGAAAGGGCTAACCTGGTTCCAACTTTTTGTTTTGTTTGGTATATTACTCAAAAATTAGTTTCACTATTATTATTACTATAATTCGAGTTGAAATTTTATTATACATACATATGTACATATGTATGTACACATTTGGGGTTTTCATTTATTAATGTATTAGTGCAAAAAAATGGAAGAAATTTTTCTCCAACTAATAAACAATGAAAGAAAATTTCGATGTTCGGAAAAATTTTAAAAAATTTATTTTTTTTTAATAAAAATAATTACAGTCACAAATTGACATTTAATAAACAAAATATTAATTATTTTTTAAAACTATTTGACATTTTTTTTAAAATAATGTCATTTTTAAAATTTTATTTTATAGGACAAATATTTTACAGTACGATTTTTGTGGAGAGCTATTATGCACTAGTGAAGGAAATTGTTTTGGACACTTAAATTGTTTTTGCATTGCAGTGCTAAATTTTACTCTAGTATACATCAATATAGATTGATATACAACCTTTTGCACTAACTAGTGAAAACCTACATTCTTCTATAGTTCGTATTTTTAATTAGAAATTTAAAAAATAAAATTTTTAAACTTTTGATGATAAAAAATAAATTTTAAAGAAATTAATTTTTTTTTGTAATAACTAACAAAATATATGAAATATTATAATTGTTTTTTATTAATTTATTTTTTAAACAAAATTTACTTTATTATACAATTATATATCATTTCCAATATTTATTTAAAATATTTTTAAAAACTTAACGATTGAATATTTTTTAATTAATTGTAGCGAATTAATATTATAGGCTATTTTAAATGTTAATATATATAATTATTTTATTATTTCTCATTTAATATTACCAACAATTTTATGTTCTCCAATTAAATTTAAATAAATACATTTTGATAATTCATAACTCATTTCACAATCACTTTCACCTTTTGTTCTTGTTAAAACAGCTTTCTCACAAAATTCAAATAATCTTTTAATATCATCTTCATCATAAAGGCCATAAACAATTTGTGATTCAAGATATTTACACATTTCATCTCTAATAATTTTTCCATCTAACATATTACCGGTTGTTTCCATAAAACATTTCCAATAACATTGTAAACTTTCAGTTGTTTGACTAAAATTATAATTTTTTATAAGTTCTTCTAAATCTGGTGTTACATCATTTTCTTGGGTACAATTTGAATATGCTTCTTCAAGTAAATCAAAATCAGCTTCACAAAATACCTACAAAAGAGTGCACATGTGTGTATGGATTTGCAAAAAAAAAAAAAAAAAACAAAAATTAAAAAAAAAATTTACTATTTTTTTTTTTAAATATTTACCAATGAATAGAATAAAATAATTGGTAATAAAAAAATTAACGGTTTCATGATTTTGTTTTAAAAATTATTATGTAGTAAGCTTTATGATATTCTAGATGTCACTAGTATCTGAATAATGCTATCAAATAATATAAATTCTCTTTCCACCGTGAAGACTTAATTACGACTGAACAATAGAGAGCAAGTTTAAGGTTATGTTTGGTCGATGAAATATTAAAACTCTTTGTTTTTTTTTCCCAGTTTTTCTCTCTTTTTTTTTCTCAGTTTTCATATATGAAATTTTCATTTATCATATTAGCGGAAATCTGTTGATTTAATATTCAAAAAAAAAAATAATAATAAAAATTATAATAATGTGTTAAAGTCTAATTATTTCGACTAGATTACCGCACTATCACAAAAAAAAATTTTTGATAATTAATTCAAAAAAATTTTCAATTGAAGTTTGAGTCTATCTTTGTAGGCTAGTTATTATAAATGAAAGAGAATTTTACAAAAAAAAAAGTTCTGTCTTTTTTGTATTGCTATTATTAATTTACATATTGTCAATGTCATGGGGTGTTAAAATTATACACAAAAAAAAAAAAATTAATTGAAGTGGGGCTGCTTAAAATTATTATTTAAATAAAAAATTTAAATAACTTGCAATTTTAAAAAGTTTATAACTAATGAGAGTGATTTTTTTATGGTAATTTATTAAAAGTAATAAATGAATAATAAAGATTAATTTATGAAAAAAAATTATTTTTCTCATTGAAAACAATATTTAATTTACATAATTACCGCGTGAATAAATTTTTGATTCTGTCATTACAAAAAATCGTCATTCAATGCAAAATCTAATGAGAGCGGCTCATAACCGACCGTATTGTTTATTTTCTGAGTAATACAAGTTCTAATACTAATTGTTTTTAGCGATTATGAAAGTGTTTTTCACACTCGTAAATGTTAGAATACTATTAACCTCACGCTTAGAAAAATTGGTTGTAAGTAAAGTTTCATTTTTTGTTTTTCGATTTCACTAAAAAGATTTTCAGCTAGTTTCGTTCGCAAACAATAAGTTTGTAATAAGTTATCAAATTTTCAATTAGTAGTCAAATTGTTTATTACTCCTTCAGATATGGCCGAAAATATTGAAATCGGATAAGAAAAACAATTAAAAAACCGATAACCGATATTAATGCCACTTGATCTCCTTCAAATGCTGGTAAGCTCTTTATATTATGAGACGGGGGTGATGAATGTATAAAATTTCAAACGATCCTTATAAAGAGCCTTATTATTGTTCTTAAATTCTGACGTACCCTAAAAATTGAACATTAATTCAAAAAATTTCAGTTTAAAGTTTTTATTCTTCAAGGAATTGTTATAAACTGTTTTAAAAATTATTTATGCCACTTTACTTTTAATATTTAAAAAAAAAACTATAGAGGATCCATAGAAACCTATTTATTGGTTCTAAAAAGCTTTATGACAATAAGAAACTGCGCATTATATCGTAAAATAAATGAAATTTTTTCCTGGTTAGAGATTTATTTAGAACATAATGTCAACAAAATTTAGTAAAAAAAGCTGCTATTAAACTATGCCATATCCTTGGAAACTGTTATATTTTTTTTTTTTTTTTCAAATTAACCTATATTATATAAGGTACCCACTAATAAAATAAAAGTTAAATGGAACATCTCTATCTAAAATATGTTGCCATTTAACTTATGTTAAAATTTCAATATAGGATAATCATAATTTTATTGAGGTAAAATTTCGTTAGGATAGTACAGTCTTGGAAACTATCAATACTCGTATTATTTTGTATTGAATATGTATGAGTATATTGTTTTCTGTTTCTTTAAATAATATTTGTTATTGAATATTTGTTTTACATTATTTTAATGATTTGAGTGAGTTTTTTACCACTTTTCCAAAATTTTTTAAAAAAAAAGTGCTTATTAGTTTCACTCTGTCCGTCCGTCCGTTGTCCGTGTGTCTGTTTACAAAAATTCTACACCCTTGAAGATAGAAAGCTGAAATTTTATACGTACATAGATCTTTACTAGAACTTATACCCCCCAAAACCCTAAAAATGACATATTTTAACTATTTAGGGCAGTGAAACAATAAGCATTTTTCAAATGTTGCAAACGCAGAAAGGCAGCGGCTTGCTTCCCCTACCGCGCTATACTATAGTTAAACTTTAGAAAAACAAAATGGCCTTTCAAATTTACCGTTATCTTAAATGTTTTCCAAATTTTTGATGTCGTTTTTCTTCTAGACTCCAGCCTGTAGAAGCTTGAAATTTCAGGGACTTTTAGACATTAATAAATAGTTCATTTTGTTAGAAGAAAATTTTTTTCCATCTCTACCCTCTCTCAAGTTATCGCCTCTTGAAATTTGTAAAATTTGAACGTTTGACACTTTATATTTTCGAAACCGCAAGCTTTTTCAAATTTGTATAAACACAAAAAGCTAACGGTAAAGTCCATGACATTAAAAAATATAATTATTTTTCTTAACTTATACAATTAACCCTTAAAATTGAGCATTGTCTTAACCCCACTTTATACTAATTTCTGCTTTATTTCAAAGGCTGCATAAATCGTTCATCCTGAATATATGCAATCCTAGAATTAGTTTCGTTTATGAAGGAAAATAATTTTAATAGTGTGATAGCTATACATAGACTATATTTAAAAGCAGTATTTTCACTTGTTGAAGGGAAAAGTGCTATAATACAAACCATTGGTTTGACCCAACTTTATTTTATTATAGTTATGAAAGAAGTTGCATTAAATTTACTAGAATTTTTTTTTTACTAGAAACCACCTATTTGTATATATGTTAGAATTTAACTTTGATATTATCAGTTATTTTACATATTATAAATTAATATTACAATTTTTCAGCTTATTTTATTTAGTTGCAGTTCTTGGGGGCTTGACAACGTGCTCGAGCTCAATATTAGATAACATGAAAAGCGTTTGTTGTACTTAGAGGGTAGCACATCAGACCCTTATACTTGGACGCGTGCCACTGTTTTGTCCTGCAAAACTACAATATAGGATATTTTATTATTAATAATTAAGAATTCAACATATGTTTTCTTAATTTAAAAAATGACTCATGTCAAGGTGTTCAGGAACTGGTTGTTTATTAAGTTTAGAAGAAGTTGATGTAAAATTATAGAGTGTTTACTTACTCTTGAAATTTTTTATACTATAGTTCTGCCTATATATTATATTAGTAATAACTATAGAGAATCATATTTTTCATAAAAATTGTAATTTTAATTTACAGGAATTTAGTTATCAAAGCTTATTTTTTTAATTTCTAGTTATGTTTTTACTTGTTGTTTTAAATAATTGGTATGTAAGTAATTTAAAATTGCCACTATAATTCATTTCCGACTGTTAATATTGATACTCGTATAATAAAATGGGAATGTTAATAAAACTCAATTGAAAGAAAAAATTTTTAACAAATAAAAATTATGCACGTGTGTTAGGGTTAAATTTTTCTTGTGAAAACTATAAATTAAAATTTTTCAATATGTTTGATTTTTACAATTCTTATATATATCAAATTTTTAATAATATACGATGAAAAGAAATTGCTATTAAACTCTACAATAAATTATATAATCAACAAGTAATTAAGCATAATAATAATTAAAATTAATTCAAAGAATGTATAGATCTTTTTAAAAAGATCCAAGTTAGTATTAAATATTTTACATGAAAAAAAAATTCTTATCAAATAAAAATATTGTTAATAATTCCAAATAAAATTATAATTTTTCTCAATTAAATTTGATTATAATGTGATTATGAATTTACTGAAATGATTCGATTATTGAAACTATATGAATATTTTATGTATCAGGAAGTCTGAGTGAATATTTATATATGTATGTGTGTAGAAAAATTAAAAACAGAATTTTTACTTTTAAGATTAATTAAATTATTGAATCAATAATTTGTCTATTACAATTTATGTTTTCAAAAAGTTAATATATTTGATATCTAATACTCCAAAATTTTTATTTCATATATGAAAATTAAAATGTGGTTCTATATTGAAGGCTTGTGAATGTAATCCTCTAACTCACATTTTAAGAAATTTGAAATAAATTGGGAAAATTTCAATATATTATAGGTTATACCACTATTTCCTATTGATTTGTAAGGCTATATGTTCCATTAATTCAATTTACGAGTATATAGGTTATTAAGAGAAAGATTCTTTATTTTGCAAAATATTATATACAGTAAAATTACGAGACATATGAATTTGGTATAGAATTTTTCTATTAATTTCAAAATTTTTTTCTTATGTTGGTAATTAGAGAGGTTATTTTTCTCATAATCTCTCGCTATATATATTAAAATTTAATTATTTGTATATTATAGCTTTTTATACTAGATATACAATTTGTTATAAGTATAAAGTTTACTTCCGGTGATAATTTTTGATTTTCTGATTTAACACCATAGACAAAAATAATGTTGATTTAATGTTAAATTTAATTAATTCATCTTCAGTAAATATTTAATATGAAGCCCCTGTCGGCTGTCACAGTAATTATCATCATCAAAAAATTTTTTTTATTCATAAATTTTTTACGGACATTGATTTCCTTTTAACTTAATTCTACACATGAACATACATACGAGTATATCGTATATTATGTGTCTATATGAACACATATTGTACAATAATGTTTATTAACACATATGTGATGTATGAGTATGTTATTTGGAGAAATTTTATTTATATTAAATTTAAATATGTGAGTATTTATTCAAAATATATTATTTGGTTAACGGCAAGTCATACGTATACACACTTTTGACTCAATATAAAATGAAATTTTTCATCTTTGTAATATTAATTTGGATCAATGTCAATATGGTAATAATAATAATAATATCATGAACATAAAATGTATACGTATAGACATAATTATTTGATACAAAAATTTTTCTTTAAATTAAATTTTATTCATGTATACGGTTTCAATTAAAATATTGCTTATGGACAAAGTAATTTAAGTTTATTTTATTAAAATTACAGTTATAATTAATTTATTTGTATATATATATATATTAATATTTAAATAATTTACATTTGCTTTGTGAGATAATCTGT